TATTAGTTTCATCTCAAAAAGTGAGAAATACATCGAGATGGAAGTTCATCCTATTAATTGTGATCCCACCTCCATGAGCTACTTACAGGCAGCCGCTTTCGAGTATCGAATAATAGTAGGCGTTTATCTAGGTTTAAATCAAGTATTTGTTATTGCTAAAGTCAGTAGTGAGAGGAAAAATTACTTCCCCGTTCAGAGTTGTATGCAACTGGTATTAACTGAGGAAATACATGTTCCGTCATGCACGCCAGGTGAACTCCATGTAGACACGGTTCTCCGTGACGTCAATGGTTTTGTACATCCAAGGTGAAACTGGATGTCAATTAATGGATTCCACTCTTCTTTGAATACAGTGGAGAGATCTTGAATAAATTTATGAGGCGCGATTGTGTGGCTTTAGTCTAGAAACTCCCTATGGTCTAAATACAAATGAACTGCTTTGCCATCCAGAAGCTGAGAAACTTCTTGTGAGACACTGNAGACACTGCATTATTGCAGTGCAATCTAATCAGTCTCCAACTGCGATATACACATTTGAATAATTGAAGCTGTTCAGGTACCGAATGCCGAAGAGCCAGTAAAATCCTTCCTATTGCCAAAATTCTATTGATAAACAGGCTTTCAGAATTCCTGCAATGTTCTCGTGCTCAATGGTATGGTGTTTCGGAGAAACTGAAATATTTCCTCAATGATTCCGGAACATACTCTACCTTCAAGATGAATGCTGTCATCCAACACTTGTCGAAAACCCTCAAGGTTCGCTTGTCCCATTCGGTGTTTTCCTTTCAACGTTTTTCTGTCAAAAAATCAATAAGGACCGCCGGAATAACAGTTCGAAAGACTGTTGAGCAGGATATTCGTGGCTTACCACGTCGCCGATCGTTGTTAAATATAAAATACACATAAAATGAGAGTAATCCTTGAGAATTATGACCTTATAGTAAAAGAAAGATAACATAATATACAATGGGGTTAAACACAAGCGTTACGGATTGAAGTCCATATGAAACTTTTGCATAAAACTTATAAAATGTTAAGCGAGAATTTCTTGAATAAATCAATCACTTTGATAATTAGTGCAAAATCATAGATTGATCTAAATATGTTTTTTTGTTTCACAGGACCATTTCTAAGAGACGAGATAAGATGTTAGAAATCACATTTGTATTAATTACCTGAATCTTTTGAATTTGATATTGTAGCACGGTGAGGATACCGAACACGGCACACACCACGAAGGTGCTTATCATTGGAAGAACACTGATTTTCTTCATTTTAAACAGATCTAAACGGAGAGTTCATTGAACAACAAAAGGTATTTAAAACCCGATCAGCACTATTGTCTGCACAAAATAATGTACCTAGAATTATCGTATCATGGAATAGATTTATTAGTTAAATGGAGAAATAAACATCTGTCTGGATTACCCAAATTTTTCATTAAATCCGTCGGAGGGTCGCCCAGCATATAGCGGCAACATGATCCACAGGAATTTGAGCATTTGCTGCGGATACATACAAAGATTACAAAGGAAACAATCTGAGTCATGCCGAAATTTAGCAAGTATTCGGTGGTAGTGGTCTCCAGATTACCGCTCCTAGGAGACGTGTGTACGAACCCCACCACAACTGCCGGATTTCCTGAACCTGTGTCCCACCCAATACAGCCGTTTGATTGGAAGCTTACCACTTCCTGAAGACTGAATCATTCCATATTTAAAAAAGAAGGAAAATAGAGAAAAAATAGTAGATGTCACATTCACGCCTCAATCCTTACAGTCCGAGAAATTTAATTTGAGTGTTCAGAGCCTAGACCTTTTTCCACTGGACGACTTCAAAATAATTATATTTGTAGCAAGATACTGCTTAAGGAACCATTCCAGCGAAGAATACGTGAAATGAAATTCATGTAACGTGGAAAAACGAATGGATTTTGTCCACTGTAGATATGAAAAACAGTCTAACTTAGGTGAACCCGACTTGCGGTGTGGGAGGGGTGGAACTTCCATAAACCGAATGAAGACCACAGCTTTGTGATGACAAAGGGTGTGCTATCAAGTGACGGCCAGAACAAACTCTTCACACCACATGGGATGCAAGACGCTGTACATATTGCCAGAAAGGACCACGAGTGATCATCTCAGGGCTCTCTTCTGGCATGATATTGCCATAGTTCATAACCCGTATGTGACAGAGTTTTAATTTTAATCTCGTGACATCCAAATCATAGTGTGACGCATGTGTAGCCCAGCTTTAAACCTAACAGGAAACGTTTGGACTATACCTTCCTGAATGGTGTTCCAACATACCAGAGGTTACGCCAAAACAAATATCAAATCCAGATTATATTGACTAGGACATAGACACGACTGAAAATATTATTCAGTTTTGGACTTCACGGATAAAGCACTTGAGGAATGCATAACCATCAAGTAACAATTCTCATTTTCGGCACATTTACAGTAAAGCAAATGAGAGTCTGATCAAATTTTGCATTTCAATTTTTCACTCGGTAGCCATCTATATTTTCCAAAATGATGATGAGCAAGCATTTCACTATGATCTGCTACTTTGGAATATAAATTGAGGACACTTGAAGGCGGATTCGACCGATAATTACATGGTTTAGTTTAGCATGGTCAAATGAACAGAAATAAATAAGTATTTCATCGACACCAAAAGACATATGTGAGTGGAATTGATATTAGCGCTCGATTTCGAATTATTTCATTCCGCTGTGAAAGCAAATTTATATGACCATGTCTAATGAAGAAACAAGAGTTGAAAGGAGTCAATCGAACAAGGTGGTGGACAAGTGAGTTGCGCGATTGTTTGATTAGAGGTTAAAGTGATAAAATTTGATATGGAAGAGAACTGATTCAAATAATGTGGTGGAGGGACGGGAAGGAACGTCAGGTGGTATCAAGCGTGAAAATATCACTACTACGGCAACAGCAGTTGCGTCACAAATGTTTTTGAACACATGATTGCGGTTGCAAGTGATGAATAATTATCGCTTCTAAAAATCGGAAACAAATATTTTCGTGAAAATATCATCGGATTAGGTGATATGAACACTGGTTTCCTCCTCTAGTCGCATGTTCGATTTTCAGAAACGTAGTGCACAGCGTGAGCGCAATGTTGATGATACGCCCCTATCAGTAAAAAGGTCTAATCAAAATTTTTGAAGATCTTAAGAACAAAATGACATCAACTTTTACCACAAAAAGGCCTAAATCAAAAGCAGTTGGGTATTTTTATATTGTAGAAAAGAAATAGTCTTATCTGAGTATGTTTTGGAAACAAGATATCATGACTCGTTTTTAACTACAATTGACAGCTTGAAGCACCTATCCCGTGCATATGGTTTTAACTTCATTGTTATACATTTACGTATTCAAACGTACGCCAAGCGGCAAACATTAAATTCAGTTATACACTTAGAAATGAAATGAATGATTAGAATACGGATTTAGTTCAATCCGGTGTAAGTGCGTTTCTTTCCAAAGAACACGGAAAACGGCCACGTCCTTTTCCTACACAGATTAGCCCCGCCTATGACTGTAGAACTGTATGATAAGCCAATCGTCACACCCCAACTCAGATTCACAAGATAGCTTCCAAAACCTTACAGTGTATACCACTTACGGGCCCGCTTAGTGTTAAGAGAGAAAACGATTACTGGCTACGATATCACCCCCTGTTCTGAAAATCATTGTGTCACGCAATATTGCTCAATTTTAACACAAAGACACTTTCATGGTTTCAGAGAAAATACTCAGATCGCGTTTTAGGGAAGCGAAAAGATGTAACTTAATTCACAGGGAAACATTCAGGCACACAAGAATAGTGGAGGTTGGTTACAAGGTGATACACTTCAGGAACGGTTGATTATTTGCACAGTTCCACTGCTCCCTGAAACCGTGTAAAACTAGTGAATTACCCCTGATGCCAAGTACACTGATCCTTGTGTCCGAAATGCCGTGTTCTCTAAATCGGTTTTATGAACGTTTAGGATAGTTCATTGTTTATTTTCATAATCATTGGCCAAGGTCTCCTAATATAATTATATTTTCTCCCTCTCTTGAACTATCAACGAACAAACGAGTAATGATTACCGAATTTTCGGCGTGTTATTTAGGTCAACAAGCTAAATATAGAAACATTTATGATTGAAAATCAAGGACTGAACAAGCGTTATTATGTGCAATATTTTCTCCGGTGACGGGTTCCACTCACCAATTTGGAAAATCGAAGCTACCTCAATCAAACCACTTAACATATTCCGCTCAAGTTTTCAGATCATGTAAAATTAGCAGTTTCTCATCCAAATCCTATCGCAAATAAGCGCATGTCTCTGGGCCATTCTACCTGATGATATGTTCAGCAAGTTCTCCGATTTTCACGATTCATGAACATCGAGCACTCGATTTTGAGCATAACTGCGACTACTAACAATCATCGTTTGACCTCCTCAGCAAATTTTCGCTCATACTACTTAAAAAATCCTGCTCGGTTATGTGCGCCCTGAAGTTATTTTTTATACATGACGGTGAATTTTCCGTATTGGGAAGTGTTATTAGCTGCACTGTTGTAGCGAAAACCCGAAATATTTTATAGAACATATTAACACAGTGACAATGACGATGATGATGAGGCGAATGCTGCTGCTGCTCCTGATGAGGATAATGGTGATGCTGATGCTGATGGTTTTGGTGATTATGATAAATAAGCAACCAACAAACTGACTTCCGCTTTTAAAATTCACTTGTACCTTGTAAGAAAGTGAGTGCAATTCGTCACCACGAACAAGATTACTGAAAGAGTAGCATACCTATACATTTCAATTCAAAACGGAAAAAAAATACAAATAGCCATGAACTCACTTCATACCGGGCAAGCCGCCAGATTGCAAGCGTTAGAAGTGAATACACAGCAACTTTCATTATTTAATCAGAGTATTCTCGGCAAACCGGAAAACCTATATATCTGCCAAATCACTAACCTTCAATTCTTTTCTCAGAGCTGATCACAGCTGCAGGAGTAGCCCCGGTGCATGGAACAGTGATTATGATAGGTGTTGGCAACTCAGTGACTTTAATATCTCCTGAGGAATAAAAAAAACATTCGGAAATTAGGCCTGATCCACCGATTTCTTTCAATTGCTCAAACCGTTGTTCACTAAGTCCACAAACAATGGGAACAGTGTGAACAATTTTAAATAGTCTTTTGGGTCAAACCTCTTAACCAATGAATACAAGAAATCTGGTGCCAATAGTCAGACAGCCAGCTCATAGTTACATTTATCGCTTTGTGCTTGGAGTACTGTTTTGTAACCAAAGACTTCAAATAAACTAGTTTTATTCATGAAAGTCAGGTATTGCTGAAACTCATGTCGCATCCATTTTGAGCTTTGTCACCTTTCTCGCATAACTGTTTGCTGTATTCTCGGTTTTATGTACCTCCCTTTATTGATTGTTTTACTCATTCAATTAATNTCAATTAATGGTTTTTACGAATATTCGTGTTCTGATCAGATATTGGTGACTAAATACTTAATTAACTACCAATTATTGTTGAACTCTTTTGGCTCGAAGAGAGGGCATTGGCATTTGAAGGTTCTCCGAACGGAAAATGGGGACCGCAGACGTTCGTGTCTATGCCAGTCAACATCATCAGTGTGGTTTTAGGGACGCATCAACCCCAAGCATGACGGATTATTTAGTTGGGGTAACATTTTGTGATTGGCTGCTTGTGTCTCTGGAATCTGGTTTAATAATTCCATCTGTCCACTTTTATTCCATTCGTCATTTTGTTCCCATGGTGACACCTTATTTGTATGCAACCGAAAGGTTCCTCATTGGGATACAAACAAATATGTGGAAAACGGTGGATTGTCGTTACGTACGGAAAGTCAGTTGACGTGAGAAGATTTGGCAGACAGGAACACATTGAATTATCCCAACCAGATAGGTTAATAAGTTATCAGGATTAGTAATTTCAGCAACAACGTTTTGTTGAATAGTAATGACCACCATTGCTGAGAAACAAACCAATGAAGCCGGTAAAAGTTAGGATCATTATAAAATCCATCATCTTTAAAAAGTAGCCAAATCCAAATTTGTTCTATAAAAGGGCTGTAGAGACATTTATTGCCAAGATGAAATCTCACTTGAAATGATCGTTTAATGAACACAACTATTCGCATTATCAGATGGAAGGACGCATTGCATTATCAAGCAACACCTTGATAAAGGTGTGGTTATCATTTGGATTGCGTCAGTTGATAATAAAGAAAGACAAACTAAATTGTAGCATGAAAGGAACACTTTCAGTTAACCGTATGCAGCAAGTTAATCATAACAATATTCAGCTAAAATGAAGTTCCACATTGATACTCACGTGTGAATTTTTCTGTACTGATATTGTTCTTAGGAGTTTGGTATTAATATAGTGTTATCCGCGGAAGATCCTTGAAGCACTCATCCGAATCTATCTGATTTCTCACATGTTTACAAAGCTTTTTACCCTATCAATAATTAGTTTTTTAAATCACCAGCACAGTTGCAATACTGAAACTCCCCGGAAATTCTAGTAGCATTTTGGACCTCTTTTAGAATTAATCGGTTGCATTCCACAGTATCGCACGTGTTGAACAGTTCATCCACTTCGTCACTCGTCAAATGAAACCACACAACCGTTTGGTAAATAGAAACATGAAAATATCACCATCGCCACGAATTATGTAAAATGTCGTAATGAACGATTGCCATGACAATGATCTTGTTCCTTAACTGGGAGACAGATCCGTGAAACTTGCATCGTGGCATTGAGGCACCATTGAAGATGCACAGTGCATTATCTTTATGCTAATTGTTGTTGGAAATTTCATACCTGTTTTAGCGTATATTTGAGTTTATCATACAAATTAATGGTTCCCATCTCAATTTACGTGCCTTGGAGGTGCCCATTATATAGGAAACAACAAGGCGTTCGTCCAATAGAATACACATATTGTCTGGCTGCTCTTTGAAAAGCAATAGAGAGAAGCTCAGCTATATCAATCCCACATCCAGTTGACAGTGAACACAGAACTGATCCAGAAACATCATTTAGAGGTAGTTATAATGCTCCTAAAAATCACATTAAGGGATCACATAAGAAAATCCTAACAAGTGCAGAGGCCAGACCAATTAGGATTATGAAGCCGGATTTGTGTAGACAGTGTATTCTGGTCCCAGATCTAATGTTATAATAGTCAGAAGAATATTTGTGAATATTTCTGTGAAAATGTTTGTTCTCTACTCCCACCTCATTCAATATTTTTTAACACGCTTTCATACCTATTGTGTTCATTTGTGACTAACACCTGGTCCAGTTCGCACAGGTTTTACTCGGCCTTTCCCCATTCATTTATTGTGTGATCCCACTAATTTTTGCCAACCGAACACGTTCTTTCAACTTTCGGCTTGCATTATTCTATTGAATAATCAATCGTGATATATAAACGCCTCAAACAATTTATCGAAAAGAAATTAATTCACCCCTGCATTGTGTCCGTATCTTCTTTTCGTGAACATACCTTTCGAGCCTTTGGCAGACATCAAGGCCACCGTATCGATGTGCTTCGTTAGACTGATTTGATACTGTCCACATTCAGGCACAGTTTTCTCCACGTACTTCATTTTGGGTTGTCCAACGGGATTGGTTTCCATAAAACTGGAGCCATCTCGGATGCTTGTATCCGTCACTTTCATAATTGTGTAGTTGTACAAAAGAAAATCTTCTCTCGGGATATTCCAACCAATCTGAATTTTATCTGAATTCAGCTCTGCCTCTAATGAGACTAGCAGAGTAAAGTAATAGTAATTAAATGTTGAATGGTATTTGTTTTTCAGAAATGACAACTGCAAACAAATAACTCAAAACACAGATACAAACGATAAAGTAGCTATCGTTAACAATGAGATAGGCTTCCTGTTCATGGGAATCGTTTTACTTAGTTGAAACTTTAAGACAGCATTTTGAAGTTTCATCACAATAAACACGGCACATGTTGTTTAGTGGCTCATATCTTCAACACTACGTTTAATAACCTCAATTATTCTCTCATACCCACTAGCACCAATTCATTGAATGCACTATGTAATACTGCGTCTCATTTTGTAATGAACGTGAATGTATTACACCTTCACTGAATGAACCAAAAAATCACAGACGGGATAGGCGTGTGACATTGTGTGGGGCAATTGGTACGCCGGTGTCATGGAATGTCTGAAAATTGCTTTATGTTATAGCCTGAGATGTGATCCAGAACAGTTCGTAATCATCGGTTAGTCAGAAACGTCGGTCCGCTCGGTTACGGGAAAGCACGCTGCCTGACCAGAACGTCGAAAGGTTTACCGGGTTTAGCTTCCGACTCATGGGTGTTACCGACCAAATTATTCCTTTTCGACAGGAATTTCTCTAATTCGTACCTTAGAAAACAATCTTCCGTCAACTTATATCCTAAGATATTGAGGTATTGGAAGCAATTCTTCTTCAGTAGAGACATCTACATCATAGTTGTAGTTGCTCATATTCAGGCTCTTTAACCAAACAAATAAGAAAATCAGCTTACATCAATCTTTATGTACACAACAAAGATTCCAAAATTAAACTAAATTTGTTCAATGGTATTTTTGTAGTATTTTCATTTGGAAAAGTAGTTTAGTGAAATAATAAGGGAAAGAGCATCTGGCACCATACAAGGGTTGGAGTACTGCGTACAACTACTGGTTCAATCGATCTACGTGTCTCCTGAAGCGAGAACTAAAACCGCTGGGCAGACCTGATTACACATGCAACTCGAAATCGCAATACAAAAACAACGATGACAGTTCTTACAAAACAAAAAAAGATGCAGCAATTCAGGAAGAAATAGTAGAATCAAAAAAAGAGCTAACCGAAATTCAAAAATAGAAATAGGTGAAAACGGAAAAGTCCAGGAAGGATTGAGGACCTAAAAGTCGTGAAAACAAATCTAAAAAATACGTAATCAAAATGCACGGAAAGTAATTCGAGCAAAGGAGAGTAAAGAGGGAAGACAGCACATGAACGTAAAAAAGAGCTTAATAACACAATAAACATTCATAGAAATGAGAGTATGCATCTATTTTTGAACACCGTTCAACACATATCTACTTGACTGATTTGACTGACTATCCTTCGTACACACGAAGGCAAAAAGTTCGAGTTTCGCTCACATTAGAGCTCATCAGTAGTGAATATCCAATGCCCAGTCCGGAATTTGAAATCCGGACCTATCGCGCGGAGCGTTAGTGCGTTACCATTCCACCAAAAGGCTCATGCCTTGGATGAACCAAGCTGAGCAATCCAAATCAATCAATATCGATCGTCCCAAAATAACTACACACCAGAAACTGTGAATTACGAAAATAAAACAACATCATTAGGTTGGTGGCCCGTAAGCTGCATAGAAGTCTTGAATTGGTGGGTATGTTCGATTGGGGTTAACACGAAACTGTGTTTCACTTCGTTGATATCGAGCACATGAAAGGACGGACGACCGCCAGTCAGTGAGAACAAACGTGAACCGGCAACTCGGTTAAGACGCGGTGTTAAACAAAAATTCTCCTTCAGCAAACCTATTACTGACCGCACTCGTCAATTGGTT